TTCACTTTGCAATTTGCTTGTATTCTGTATTTTCTGTAACAGTAGACTGACTCTTTAGCTTGTGAATCCTTGGACAGTGGCTAAATATCAGAGATTAGGATGGTGGTGAAATAGTGTCAGGAAAAATGCATGAAGGAGAAATGAGAAGGTAAACTGAGAGTTATCACAGAGAAACTGTCAAGGAAGAAATATCTTCTAAAAAGGTATTTTTTAAATAGCTAAGAGCTTAGACTTTGGTATCACATCAATCCCCATAGTCTGGGACAGGTAGCAACACTGTTCTTGTAAGGTTATCAGGCCCAGGGTTCTCTGTCTTACACCTCTGCCATTCCTTGTTTGTATGGCTGAACCTGGGTTATCAAGACCATATCTATATTCAAATTAAAGTTACTTCTACTCACATGCCCTTGATGGAAACTAAGTCACAAATCACATTTAACTGCAAGAGAGTAGAACACAGACTCTCTAGATGTACCCACTTTAAACTTTGGGAATACTATAATTAAAAAAAATAATTACTAGACCATGGGAACAATTTAAAGCCTTTACCAGAAACCCCTTTCTACTTTTAGACAGGGTAAAATTCTCCTTGATCTTACCTAGTAGTCTATGATCTACTTGGTTTTGTGTGTTCTTTCTGAATAACCCCCAGATCCAAGTCCTGTGATTTTTTTAGCCATTTTCAGACTGCTGCCTCTGCTAAGGTTGCCATCTCTGTCAGCTATCCCTAGAACATTGCCTGTCCATGGACCATCAGCATTGCCTGCAAGTCTTTAATAAATGAACAATCTTAGTCTCAACTAAAATATCTGAATCAGAACTTGCAGTTAAATGAAGTCCCTACGTGATTTACAACCACATTAGAGTGTGCAGAAAGTTGTTCTTGTTTAATACACATGTCAGGATGATTTATTTCAACTGTGAACAAATGTTTGAAAGTTAGTCTGAATACCTATATCTTCTTCCATTGTCAAGTTATGTAGCACAGGTGGGTGCTCACTGTTTCCCACTTTTCACCAAAGCATGGATACTATTGTTCCAAATAACAGCTGTGTCTCTGGAGATATATGCTCTTAGTTGGGAGAAAGATAGAGAAGCATGTTTGTTCCACCCAGAAATAACTAGCACCATCAGCTATATGAAGAGACATAACACATTGCCATACTCATCTGCTTTAAAAAAACTTTTTAATTGAATCTATTTGATTCTGATTACCAACCATTATTTTACCATGGTATATTCCACATGTAAGGCTTTGGTATAAGGCCTGATGAAATGTCAGCAACATGACTGAAAGGGATTGGAACTATGAGGGGAAGATGAAATGGGGAAAATGAATTGGTTTTAATCTGATTCTAAAGATGGAATAACCAAAGCTCAGTGTTGAAGGGTGGAATGACAACATGCCAAAGCTGCTTTGAAAATAACCAAGACTCAAGCCAGAGTGCCCATTCTGATGATTAAGCTTCAGACACCTAAAAACTAAAGTGGGACTTGGTGTATTTGTGAATATATAAGGACTATCCAAAGCAACATGAATCATGGAACTGTAAAGAGAACCATAATCTGTTGTGGTCATCAGGAGATGCACTTGCCTTATAATTACCAGTGTGCTTTTTAATTACCTAACAGCATTGATACAAATTTTCATTTATTTCTTTAATAAATAAATTTCCTACACTTATTTGTTAGCAATGTATTATGTGTTATAACTTATGCTCAGTGTTTGAGCATGTATTCTGAAAGAGCTTAAAAGCAAGTACAGCAATGAAATAAAGAGAGAGATTCAGAGGGTAACCTGTGCGGGTTCAGGGAAGACACATTTGATTATCCTGGAAGCAGTTTGGAAAAGTCCTTATAACTAGGATGGCCATATAATTTGTTGTCAAAATGGCAATTTTAGAAAGATAAAGAGTATATATTCTTAGGCTAAAACAAGAGGAGTATGCCTCTTGTGCAAGTACGTGATCTCACAGAAATTATTCACCTTGAAAGAGGTCAGAATGAAACAGAGTTTGGAATCCAATAGGAAAATGCTAAGGAGCTTTGTTGAAGGTAGCATAAGGTAGTGGTTAAGGGGGTAGACTCTGGAGTCAGATTTTCAACTTTCTCATTCACTGTATGATCTTAGACAATTATTCAATAATCTCCCATTTGTAAAGAAGGGAGAAAAAGTACTTGTAATTCAGGGTTATTGTAGGGATTTGATGAATAAAATTATATATGTATATAAATTATATATAAGGTACTCATAAGAGTGACCAGCTCACAGTAAGTGCTACATGTGTGTTCTATTGTTATTATTATCAACAGAATATAGGTGATGAGATAAGGGCCAAAAGAGCAGACAGTTGCTAGGTAAAGGCTTAGATGTCTGTCCTTCAAAGTACTTCATGAGAAACAATCAAAATCTCAGTGGCTTATCACAACAGAAATTTATTACTCAAAATTCTGCAGGTTGAAAAAGGCAACTGTACTTCAGACTCTGGGTCATGTTCATGCCTGCTCTCATTCTGTATTTTTGTTCTACAACCCAGACCACAGTTGGGCTGAGATTTTCTCATGACAAAGGCCAACGATCCAGATGGCAAAACAGTTGACTCAAGCACATTTGCCACTCTTGATTAGAAAAAAAACATTTAGTATGCTTGTTCACAGAGTGCTGGCTAAAGCAAATCCAATGTCAAGGGATGGAGATGTATATCCTATCTTCAGTGAAACCATGGCAAAATTAGGAAGAGGAGGAATGGTGAACAGATAACTCTATCAACCTAATTGCCAAGCTCAATTAACCAAGTTTCCATCAGTGTATTTGGAGGTAATTTCTAATTTTCACTGTCGTAAATTATAGTATATCAAACATAAAAGATTGTGTATGCATTTGTATATAATATATATTCATTTGCTGTGTATATTCATTCTGTGAGATGAATTCCCAGAGGAGGAAAAGTTTTGTTGAAGTGTATTTTTGATAGAATTGCAAAATTACTTATAATAATGTATAGTAATCCCCCCCTTACTCACAGAGAATACATTCCTTGGCTCCAGTGAATTTTTATTTACCAAACTACATATATATCATTCATATATATGTATATACATATATATTCAATTTGATGACCAAGACCGATGCTAAGTGATTAATGGACATGGAGCATACACAGTGTGGATATGCTGGACAAAGGGATGATTCATATACCAGGCAGAATGGAGCAGGACATTATGAAATTTCATCAGGCTGCTCGGAGCGGCATGCAATTTAAAATGTATGGGTTGTTTGTTTCTGGAATTTTTCATTTTATATTTTCAAACCACAGTTGACCACTGTGGAAAGTGAAATTGCTGATAAAGGCAAGACTGCTGTATTCGTTAATTCTCCTGCCAATCTCTCTATCTGAATGAAATTCTTTAATGGGAGAAGGGATTCTTACAGTATTAAGAGGTGATCCCAATCAGATGGTAAAGAATAGAGTGAATCAGTAAAGGATTGCCATGTTGCAATGGTGAAAGAAGGAGGTGACCCAAGGAGGCAAAAAATATATGTAAAAGGAAACAAGGGGATCCAGAAGGGACATATTGGGTATGCAAGGTGTTTTCTGGGAAATATGAGGAACCAGAGTTAACTAATCAGAAATTGGTATAATTTCTTTGTTATTACCAATTTATAAGTGCCAGAGCTTCCTTTGCCTTGGAAGAATTTATTATCCTGTTACAGTCAAATACTTGAAGAATATAGCTTCTCAAATCCATTTCAATAGTATACATTTTGACTAAGACTTATATACTTAGATTTTAAGAAGTCCTTCTTCTAGCACACTGCACAAAATCGTAACATATTTAGCTCCATCTCAACTTGGTGTCATGATCATTCCTATCCTGTATGAGAACCTTTATCCAGATACATAGATTAAATCAGCCTGTACTTGCATCTTCTGTACAATGTCCTGGGAGGCTCCTCTCACATTCTCCTTTTGGTCCTACGTGCCTGAGACTGAGAAACCAACATTTTAACAGACCTACTGGCTTTCAAACCTATTCTCCAAGCCTAAAACTGATTTGTCAGCAAACAAACCCCACCATTAGCAAGTTCCTTATATCAGAAAAGACAAGGAGCATGCTTAGACAACAGAATTTAAGTTATGGTGCAAATAAAGAAGGTAAAGAGCAAGCTGGAGAGTTGTGGTAGTGCTTAGTTCTGAGCATTCACAACTGCTGGCTTCACAGAGAAGAAATTGTTATTGTGTCCCTCTTCCCATATTGAAGTAGTTAATCCACTTCACCTGTCTTTGTAGAACTTCCAGAAGATGCAAGCACTGATATTGCTTTCCCAGTTTACCTGACAGGTAAATATGCACCAGCTTATTGTGAACCTAGAGGTAGTGGTGCAAAGGATATGGGGGCAGTTCTTTCTGGAGATGGTAATATTCAATTTTCAGGTCTTCAAGGCTGTGCCCTGTGACTCTTTCCGGCAGTGTTAGTTGAAGTGCAGGTTGCAATGAACACAATTCAGAGGCTACAGCTGTGTTGTCACCATCCAGGATCTGGGACATGATTTTTTCTGTGGTCTTGATCATATGACCTTTCTTATTCTTGTCCATTTGTTTTGAGTTTGGACTCCAGCTTTGATAATTCATGAGTTCCACATAGCCTTTTAAGAAACCCATTTCCTGTACGAATAAATCTGAATTAGTTTTGTTGCTGGCATCTATGAACTCTGTGAATCACAGCTCTGTTGTTTAACTGTGGGCCCATAGGACACTCTCAATTTAAGTCAAAGCCATGCTAGTGTTTTTTACTTAATACAAAGTGATTCAATTTTGTTTCATGTGATTTGTGTTTAAGAGGTATCTTGGACAATATCTGATGAGGAAACTATTTACTTAATGTAGATATTTCTGGGATATTTTAAAGGAAACAGGTCTGTGAGAAATAAAACATATTCCCCAGAACCATAGTTAAAACTCAGAACTGTGTTTGAGATTTTATCCTGAGAAAGAAGTCTATATTCTTCTCATATATTTGCTAAAGGCCCCCTTAACGTCTCCATTCCTCAGGCTGTAGATGAAGGGGTTTAACATGGGAGTCACCAATGTGTACACAACTGTTACAATGCGACCTGTGGTCACTGAATAGCTGGAAAGAGGCCGGAAGTACACCCATGTGAGGGTGCCACAGAATATAGCCACCACAGTAAGGTGGGAGCACAGGTGGAAAAGGCTTCCACTTGCCTTTGGATGAGGTGATTGAGAGGACTGCTGAGATGATGCAGGCATAAGAGACAATGATGAAGGCCAGAGCCCCATTGATGACAATCACACCTTCTGTATGAATCATCAAGGTGTTGAGGTGGGTGCTGGTGCAGGAGATCTTCATCAGAGGGTAGAGGTCACAGAAGAAGTGAGAAATCCTGTTCTCTGCACAGAAGAATAGGCTGCCCATGCGGAAGGTGTGCAGCAGGGCATGAAGGTAGGAGAGGACATGGCACACAGCCACCATCTGTACACACAGTGCTTTGGTCAGGATTGTGGCATAGTGGAGAGGGTGGCAGATGGCGATATACCTATCATAGGCCATCACAGCCAAGAAGAAGTTTTCCATGGCTGCAAAGCAAATAAAGAAATAAGTCTGGGCTAAGCAGCCCATGTAGGAAATGGCCTTTGTAAGGGAGAAAATATTCTGCAGCATCTTTGGGACTGTGGTAGAGGTGAAGCAGATATCTACCAAAGCCAAGTTACTGAGGAAGATGTACATGGGGGTATGGAGGCGAGGAGCAGAGATAATCAATGTGATGAGGGCAAAATTGGCAGAAATGTTGATTGTGTACATGAATAGAAAAAGAAGGAAGAGGGGGATCTGTTCTTCTGGGTGGGTAGAAATGCCCAAGAGAACAAAATGGGAAACACTGGTCCAGTTCTTATTGTCCATCTCCTACCTTAAGAACAAAAAGAATTATTTTCATAGACTTGTAACTATGAGCAGGATGCTTAGTTACCCTTAGTGCTATTCCCAGTATAAACTACATGTGGTGCTGATAAAGGGATCAAGTGCTTAATAATTTTTTCAAAATAATATAGATTTTCGTTAGCATTAATGTCATCACTATCACAATAGATAACATTTACAGAGCACTTACCATGAACTAGGGATTTTGGTGCATTATATTTAAAATAGAATTATCCCACAAGGCAATTATTATTATTGTTGTTGTTGTTATTTGTTGCACATTGGAAAGTTGAAGCACAGAAAGTTTAATCTCATAAAGGACAAATTTAAATTTAAGTTGTGTTTACCAAGATCCAAAGGTTGTACTACTAACTACTATGTAATATGACTCTAAACTAAAACCAAGACATTTTTCCATGGCAGTTGACCTGTTGATGAGCTATGTAAGTGCTGCATCTACTTGATAAAGGGAATGTCAGAGCTCATTTGGTTCATAAGTTTTCACTTATGCATATCTGGCTGGTTCTCAAAGATTTCTGAAAGAGTACCCATTGTTCTAGGAGAATGAGTTTTCAGATTCTTAATTTCTAAATATCTCTTCTCTAACCTCATCTTGTCTTCTTTATGTATTACCTTTTCTCACATGGAGCAAATAATAAATGGTAATAGAATTGACTCTGATTTTCCATTTACTCTAGTAATAAATAATACTAGTTTTTGGATACATGAAATGATTGGAAGAACATTGTTCCATTAGATACTTTAAAACTTTCTTATAGTCTGTACTTCATACCTGTGGGTTTCACATCTGTGTATCTAACCAATCAAGGATCAAAAATGCTTGAAAAAAATTCCAAAAAGTTCTAAAAAGAAGAAGTTTAATTTTGGTGTGTGCTGACTACTACACTGAATTCATACAGATGAAAGGGTCCTAGACAATGTATTAGGTATAATGATAAATAACAGAGATGATTTTAAAGTATGCAGGAGGAGTGCATAGGTTATATGCAAATACTGTGCTGCTTTATGGAAGGGACTTGTGCATCTGCAGATGTGTTACCCACAAGTGATTCTGGAACCAATTTCCCAGGGATACTGAGGAGTAATTGTTTAATTACTATTTAAACACTTATGATCTATTACTATATGAAAGTATCATTTTGTAGGTCAAAATAGAGGAAATTTTACAACTTCATATAATCAAAACTAATAATTACATAATTTGGTCAGTTATTTACTAATAATCTCAATAACTCAACTCATATCTTTTTCTGATTATTTTTAACATGAATTTTTATTGATATAAGAAATTAAAAATATCTTTAATTTCATATTCTTCCTTGTGTTAAGTAAGATAGGTGATTATAAAGGAGTTTCTAGCATAAAGCATATTATAGTAACATAAAATGCAGATAGGGAAGAATGAAAATACTTGTTTAAATTGAAAAGAAGTGATATAAAAATTATAAGTGGTAAGGATGACCTTGTTCTGACATTTTACAAATGGTTGATGTATCAAATCATTCTAGTGTTTAGATGCCACTGAATACATTTAAGAAATAATGTGAAGTTTTTGTTTTAAAAGCACAATATACCATACACTATATTAAACATTTGATGAATAATTTTTTATGCCAGTGTTTTAAGTTCATAGGTTCTTATCAGGGTGTATAATGAGCAAACATTATTAATAACCATAGATTTGATATAACCTCTCCATCGGTGCTTAACCTCCTTTTGTTGTGTTCTGGAAAATGAGCATCCTTCCTTTTCTGATGGTTTTAGTGGTAGGAAGCCCTGGTTGTCAGAATATTTCTTCTATAGGAGAAGCTAAAATGATTGCTTTTCATTTCTATCCATTAGAACAAGTTTGGTGTTTTGGGATCCCACAAAACAAGTCTACCATTCTTCAACATGGCTGCACCAAGGCTGCATTGTGCAGTGGCTAAAATCCCAGCCTCAGTTTCCTCAACTGTAAAATGGGGATATGAATAGTACATTACTGAAAATATTCAATAAATGCTGGCAAATTTTTCTATCAATTTTTCACTCTTGTTCAACAGAGTTTCCAGATTTTTCTCCCATCTAGGTATGGCTCCTGTGAACTTTGCCATTGTTCTTAAAATGTGGTTTCCAAACCATGCAAAGTTCTGTGAGTCTGGAAGCACAGAATAATCTGATTTAGTCTTGTCATAAATAACAGCAATGTACCCTTTTTGGCTCAGAGCTGGCAGTCTCCAAGTAAGTGTGTTCATAGCTACTCAAGCAATTCTTAGACACTGCAATTTAGTTGTTGGGAGAAAAGTGAAAACAATGAAGAATGGTCCCTCATATCATATAATCCTTGTAACAATCTCAGATTTCCAGCTATGCATTCCTGTACAATCACTTGTGATCCTTACTGTACAGATGAGGCTTAAGGAGGTGAAATAATGTGCTTAGCATAATTCAGTATTATGTGGCTGGATTTCACAATTACTAGGTGCCTTGAGTGCTTATACATGCCCCCCAATACATATTTCATGTGCTTAGCTTCCTTGTCATTGACCTGCATTTATTTATCATTCCTGACTGCTTTCCTGCTTCAAGTTATAGGATCCCATCATGGTATATCTCAAGAAAACAAGCCTTAGGTTTTTCATTTACAAAAAATGTGTCAATTCATAATACGACACTGAATATCCTGAATTGATTTCAATATGGTGTGATGATGAGTGAGGACCCAAGTGGCAGCCCCATTTATTAATTACTTATTGAGCACTATAGAACCCAAGTTATTCTAAGAGTGTTATATATGTATTATGTATTTCACGTGGTAATCACGGCAGTGCTGTAAGTATTATCATCTCATTGTGAAAATGAAGCGGTTGAAGTTCAGAGGGGTTCTGTGACTTGGTCAAGGACACAGTAATTCAAATTACTAGTGGAATTCGAATTCAATTCCATTTGACCTCAAAGTCCATACTCTAAGTTACTGAGCAATGCCACCTTACTTTCCCTCACTATTACAGATTTTACTTTCTTCTTTGGTTCTTGCTTTTTCATTGTGTTATCATGTGTATTGGTCAATGATAAGTATTCATTTTTCTAGTTTAATTCTCATTATAAAACTAAAGATTAGATAGTATTCTTCCTAATTTTCAGATTATGAAACTGAAGTGCAGAGGGTTGAGTTAAGTTCCCTAAGGTCACAGGGAGTAGAGTTGGGGCCAGGTTAGTCATAGATCTAATTCAGAAGTGATGCTGTTTCTATCCTAACTCACCCGCTTAACACCCATGTTCTGTTCTCTTCCTATGCTTTTTTTCCCTTGATAGTCTGTCACTGGAATTAGACTCTTCAAATGAAACTTTACAAGGCTAACCTTCAGTGTTGGGCATAAGCTAGCCCTGAGTTTATGGCTTACAAATCATGGCTATCTCTTGGTATCTGGGGCAATGTCCATATAGCTTCTATGATAAAGCCGCCCATAAAGCTAGAGAGAGTCCCAGAAGTGGCCAGCGAAAGAACTTCCTTTAACCTGGGAGTCCTCCTTGTCTTCTTCATAGTTTGCAGAGATGAGCCTGACTGACATTAGCATATCAGCCCCTTATAGGCAGAGGAGAATAATGTGGTGTGGATGAAGAAATAGGTGGGAAGTCAAAAATTTTCTTTATAAAAAGGTGTGGATAAAGAAACAGTAATAAGGTGTGTAAGAATGGTCCTTGACTTAGGAAATGAAACATCTGGACTTTGACCCCAGGTCTGTCATGAAAATCTTCTGAGATCTTGGGAAAACCACTTGACTTCTTCCTCTGGGAAATGATAAGAATACTGTTTTCAATATAGAAGCTTTATAAAAACAAACAGACAAGGCTATAGATATGAAGTACCCTTAAAAGTCCTATAAAATACTGAGGCCATTTGTTTAAAATTCCTTCAGGAACTTGGGTTTCCTATCCAAAATAGAGCCCTGTCTGATATATAAACTGCCCTTTGTAAATACAGGAGGGACTTGCAGAACACAAATAAGTCTGTTCTCCAGTTTTCCCTATTTGATGATTGGTTTCCAGACTGGAAGATAAGACTGAATCAGTTGTTAAAGAGCAAAAGCAATGGTGTCCAGGCACTATTTCTGGGTCACCTAACCCTTATTACTCATAAATACCTTCCCAACTGATTGAAACTTTCTGGAATTCCATTAGATATTTCTGTGACTCAGGGACAATTTTCCCAAAAAGGACTAGTTGTGACTGTGTGAGCCACCCATACATTTTGGGATAGTTTTTATTGGGAGAGGGGTTGAGGATAATGGAAGGAAGAGACACAAATGAAGGAAGAGAAAAGACAAAAGATGTCATAGGAAGTTAAAAATAAACTTCATAATACTCACATTATTATCCAAAGGATCAATTTTGAGAAAGATGGCCCTCCCTCTAGAAATTACTGAGAGCCTATCTAGGAATTTCCCAAGGTGTCCAGAAACTGCTGTGTGCTAGTGTGCAGTCCTGTGCTGGTGTGCTGCCCTGTGAGAGCAGACCCTTGCCTTACTGTGGACTCTTGGCTGGACTGGTGTGGGCTGTTCCTGGTGCTTCCATCTCTGCTTGGGTAGTATGTGTCATCATGTCTTGTTTTGATGGCAGAACAGAACCATCCACTCAGGGAAGACAGAAGAAGTTGCCCAGCACAAGAAAGAAAAAAGCCATTAGGTAGGGAGTGGAGGGCTAGAATTTCCAGGCTCTTATGATGTTTCTGCTGGTCAGGGTGAAGAGACACGACTGGGGAAGGCACTAGCAGCTGAGGTTTTATCACATGCCTCTATATGGATTCCATGGTTCTCACTAGCACTGAGTCCCAAGTGTGTCATTGTCCAACCTTGCTGCCTTTTCTGGGGAGAGGGACCCACGAGGCATTGTTTCCAAAGTCAGTATTAGTGGCTATGGCTTGGCAGCTCAACTCTCCCAGGAGCTCCTAGAAGGAAGCCAACAGAAATTCAGATATGGTC